TCCTCGCCCCCGTTGTGGGCGCTCGCTCCGGCGAACCCTAGCGCTCATGGCGGGCGCGTTCTTCCCCTCCCCCTCTGGCCACAGCAAGCTCCGGCAGCGGCAACCTCCCTCAGGCCATGGCACCCCGTCCCCTCCCTGGCCCGGCCGCCACCGCCACCACCAGGGCCCCTAAGCCGCCCAGCCTCCTTCCCCATCGCCTGGCCGGCCTGCCTCCCCCCGGCCGGGCCCTTCTAAGCCCGCCGGAGTTAGGAAGGAGAGGGGGTGGGGTGGTCATCGGGCGCGGGCGCGGGCACGGGCGCGGCCGCCGGGGAAGAGCTCGCCGTCGATTCTATGGCCACCGTAGTTGGAAGAGGCGACGCGGGAGGAAGATGAATCTGTGGCCGTCGATTCTCGATTGGACGCACCAGCCCGTCGACTGATGGATAAGCCAGTTCTTAGGCGACTGTGTTTGAGTATTTCTATTAAGATTCATGCAAAGTTTTTGAAGAGGATCACTGGAGCATAACTCGAGATATATAGATATAGATTTAGCCAACTGCTACCTGGTGAAGTATAGGACGATACGACGAGCTGGAACACGGCGGAAAATGCAGGGAAACGCACCATGCCATGCATGCACACATTCGTGAAAGGTGGGCGGGACATTATTGGTTCTATGTTGTGTCGTGAATGCCAGTTGTACAAGAATATTCAGCCGTTGGGTTTTGCACTCATTGGTCCAGGCGGATCCAACAATCGTGCTTCAAAGTGAACATTATATATTGAGAATTATGCATGAAAAAAAAACAAAGACCAATCGTGGTCTGTCTCAGTCCAACCAAAGAAAATGACCAAAGACCAACAGTGGTACGAAGTACCATTTTATGATTATGAAACCCAAGACACATGTCGCCGGTCGCCCCAGCTATCCGTAAACAATCACGCGCAAAAACAAGCATCTAACCAACCACTAGACTTAAACATTGAACCGTGTGGAACCACTAGAATTAAACAATGAACCGTGTGCCACACATACACTTTGTGATGGTATAGAGTTGCCAGACTCAATATCTCAACTAGCTAGAGGCAGCCGAAATAGGCGGCAGGCTGGACATACAAGAAGATGAACATATATATAGAAGCCAACTGCAAATATTGCTCTGGGCTCTTTTAATTTCACCTTCAAAAGAATACAGTAGCATGCCATATAATGGTTGGCTTGATGGGAGCGTACGTTGTCGATGGTCTTGAAGGTCTCACTTGTGGTTGAGACCCATATGAAGTAGATGCAAACTCAGCTATAGCCTTGCTGGTACTAGAGGAAAAATCATGCATGTAATCTAACGGCAACCATTTGAAATGTACTCTCTAGTGGACGAATGTGAGTATTAACTGAATCATTGATGTTTCGATTATAAGCCTGAAACTTATTATTAACAGGAACACTAACCACACTATCAACCATATTGGCAATTTTAGATTCAGGCGGGGTTGTTTACTCACATCGTCTTTTTCCTCAGGGTGAAGAGGATTAAATGCCGCATCTTTCATCTTTGTTACTCTGCCTTGGTTGTCCAGGAAGAAGTGTGATAGAAATTCTTATCTTGCTTCCTACTTAGCTGCTTTGTATGCCATTTCTCTTCTTCTTCATCTGAGTCATGCGTTCCTCAAACATCTTCAGCTCATCGACCGTATTTTTGTCCATATCTAGGCTGATAATGTTGTCAGGATCATATTCTCGAGGCTCTGGAATTTTGTTGCTTGACATGGTTGTCGGCTGTTGTAGATTGATCTTGATCTTCTTCCATGCGGATTCACCAAAAAATATATTGACTCAAATCTAGTCCCACACCTAGAGGCTGGGCTAGCATACCTGGGTCACACATGGATCGGACCCGTTGAGGATTGAATCCTTGGCAATGCAAGGAAAATCAGCCTAGCCGGTTTTGGTAGATCCGTCGCGAACACTGTCATGGTGGCATAGATACAGTTGTCATTCAGCAAGGTCAGCTAGAACGCTGACAAACATCATCAAGAAGTTTGCGAAACAAAAGATATGAGATTGGAAATGATTAAAGCAAAAAAAAGATCAAAATTACATTGATCGATCGACTAGATGTCCACAATCCACTGTGGTGTTTTATATTTACAGGATGGAGGTGGAATTACCCCTTGGAGTTTATAACTCTTATAAAATCCATGCGAAAATATAATTCGAATTCGATTTTGGGCTGACAAAACTGTCCTAGGTACGGATATTTCCGAGGGTTGTAATTCTCTAATCCGACTTATAAATTGCATGTTCTATATATGTATTTCGATCGTCTCAACGAGTGGAACGCAACAGTGAAGTCCATTTTTCCATTTGACAATTTTTCTCAAACCAGCTTGGCTTTGGGAAACCGACCAAGTTGGTTTTCCTACATTTATTAGTATATATTAGGTATTTTTGGTTGTCAATAGGACACGAAAGGAGTATTTGCTACCCAGCCTAAGGTATGTATGTCAGGAAGAGAAATATAAGTGTAGTGCAAGTGCTTGCTTTCCGTTAACAATAAGGGTTTCGTTATGGTGCCAGGGGAACCTGTGCTATCTTCCATTCTATTATTATGAACCGTTGATCTTAGAAGGAAGTCATCTACTATAACCAGAGTTACTGCAGGAATTTATCTTCCTTGCACATTCGCAGGCTATCTTATATTCCATGCACCAAACAAATCGAAGTATCGAACTCAAGTAGTAGAGGCCGACGGTTGCATCGGTTTCTTTTCTCCGGCTTGAAGACGAATCGCACCACAACTGAACTTGGCTTGTCGGTGGCGCGCATGGGGATGCTGCGAAATCATTGCCTTGGAGACCCTGGGACGGCCGGCCAGCGCACATGTAAACCATGTCGTCAGGCGGTCATGCTGGTCCTCGTCGCCACATTTCCAATCCAGCGAAATGGAGCCCTCAGCCGCCAATCAGCTACCTGGCTCCACAACAAACTTCCATGCCGCACAGCTGGGACTCGCCATCGCTACCACAAAACCAGCACAAAACCAGAAAACAATGTTGGTTCCAACACTAGTACAGAAAATATTTTCACTACCAGCACTATATATCACTGCCGGTTTGAACAAAACGATCAGTGATACTTTTGACCGCTGGTTCGTAAGACTAACCGTTAGTAAAATTGGAGCAATTATCACGACCGGTTTGTGTACCAACTGATTGTGATATTCCATAATTTCTGCTGGTTCGTGTCACCAACCGGTGTTGATTATTGCTCCATTTCCACAGTCGGTTTATATTTTGAGCTGGATGGTGGTGATAAATATGGTGTAGCACAGCAAAATTAATAGCGTGCTAATCAATGCGTATGTTGAAACGTTTGATTCTGTTGATTCGAACTAAACATGTGATTGTTTGTGTAAGATTCTCTCAGCTTTTGATCGCTCACCGCATGAATGCCTAATCGGTTAGCACACAAGGATGAACAGCAGTCTGCATACTGCAGTCCCTGAAGACCTGAATGTCTGATTGATGGCCCGATCCCCTCCAACTTCAGTAGTTAAGTACTCCACTCCTTGTCTCCAATCTCCATCAGGCTATGGATTTTTATCTTTCTTTTTCTGTTCTTACCCAATTTTGACACTGTGCATCCTATACTTGTAATAATTCCTCTTAGCTAAACTAGTTGCATTGGTTAGGGTAATTATATTAGTTCCAATTAATTGTTCTTTTAGTCTTCACAATGTTAATCGATCACAATTAATTGTGTTAAATTATGTCATTAAACGTTTTATCACTTTACAAAATTAGATACATACATACATATATCTACATGGCCACATGTACACAAACATATACATAGCTTTGAAAATTGAAAGCCTGTCATGAAGAGTATGCCCTAGGGCCCTCAAAACATAGGACCGGCAGTCCGGCACTGGCTGGCACTTGAACACTCGTCGTTTGTAAATTTATGGCATAGAATTAAATATCCCATTTTTTCCCTCTTCGTTGCAGTGTAGTAGTAGTATTAGAGATATCCCATACAGAATAGCAGCTCTGTACATACGTCTGTGCTGCTTTCCTCGAAATGGCCAGCAGAGCACACGTCAAGTCAAAGAGTCGCAGTCGCACTGTTGGAAGATGAACTTGTAAGGAGGTGTTTCGTTGAAACTCCTAAATTTTAATCGTTGTCCTATCGAATGTTTAGACACATATATAGAGTATTAAATATAGACTAATTACAAAATCAATTGCATAGTTTACAACTAATTTGCGAGACGAATGTTTTAAGCCTAATTAGTCTATGATTTGACAATGATTTGCTACCATAAACATGTACTAATGATGAATTAATTAGGTTCAAAACATTAGTCTCGCAAAGTATTTACAGATTATGTAATTTATTTATTTTATTAGTATTCAATACCACATACAACATCGTTCGTTCGAGCCTACCTCCTCAATTTTAGTCACCCTTAAACCGGGGCCATAGCCAGGTAGTCTCGTCATGTCAACACTCTTTTCCACACGTTTCGCAATGGTCACGGTCGTCAGGTACTCGAGTAGCTGAGTTATCTCGTCTTCTGAGGAGTACGCGTGGAAAAGATTTTATTTGCAATTTTATTGGAAGCGGCGGTTGGGTTCTCCACGCAGCGCCGCCCCGGCCGCTATTAAACCGGAGGACGCGTACTGGATCTGCACGCACTCTTCTCCAATCTTGGCCATGGGCAAGAAAGCAACCATCCACCGTTCCAAGGTCCCTCGTCTGCTCATGGGGGACTCGCCTGGTCGGTCTGGACGGACGTCCTCCTCGCCCTCGGCATCGTCGTCGCCGGCCCCGGGGTCTCCGCAGATGGCGTTCCTGTCCCGGAGCGGCATCGCCGGCTCCGGGATCGCCTTCTGTTGCACCAGCGGTGTCGTCGCCAGCGTCGGCTTCGGCGCCAGCCCCGGCATCGACATCGCCGGTTCCGACGTCTCCGTCTCCGGCCCCGGCACCAGCGTCTCCAGCCCCAGCGCCGCTGAGCGTGATGGCTGAAGTCGTGGGTGTTGAGGAGCCGGAGCTCGACGTGCCGCCGCCGCTAGAGGAGGTGGTGGAGCTCTCCTCCGATGACGAGTTGAGGAGCTTGGTTCCCGCGGGTGCTGCTGCACGCGCCGCCTCGCCTGGAGCTGGCCCTTCCACCTCGCGCGCCGCTGCCCCGCCAGACACGAGCAGGTACGAGGAGTACGCCAGGAAGCTCTTTGTCCTCCTCAACCGCATGGAGATCGGGATCCCTAGCGGCGGGGCCCTCGTGAACCTTGTCAGCGACGACGACGAGGAGGAAGCGGCTGGCAGCAGCGGATCGCCGGTGCCCGGTGACGATGCCCCCAAGACAACACCAAACGGTTAGGTCGCTTGGTGGAGATCACCTTGGGGCTGCCGCCGTCGGAACCAGCTCTCCCGGGAAGATGACTAGTAGGTTTAGGGTTTTAGATTATCCATTTGTAAATCCATCTAATGAACTTTTTTAATGGATTGATCCTCCCACTTTTAAATCATAATCTAGCCCCGTTCGGCTTACCTTATAATCCGCACTATTCAGTTTGTTTTTTCAGTCGGAACAGTGTTTTTCTCTCACAACAATTTAGGCAGAACAGTGTTTTTCAGTCAAGTTTCAGCAAGCCGAACGGGGCCTCTATATTGTTATATTGTTTTCGTGATTGGATAATCTCAGATCGTATCTACTCATAATTTACACGTAGCAACTACTTAGATTACGAGAGATCTTTAACTTAGCATGATTTCTGGCGAGATGTTGCTGAGCTGGTCGGGCTTTATAGTGCTCGCTCGAGAATTCCTGAACAGCAGTGTTCGGGCATTTTGCCTTGACCAATTGTAAGGCAAAGATCTTATTTTGTTTAATTTTATAGAGAGAGATATTATTGTTAGGAAGTAAATCCCTTGACACAACAACCGAAGCGCACGTCGCGGAAGTGGAGCGGTTTTCGGGGGATTGTGCCAGCCGAGAGGCCATTTAACCCCTTGTGCAACCGCACACGCAAACCACTGTGCCCATTTTCACAGTTGCATCCCAGATTCACTTTTTTCACCCCTCTGCCACTTCTTCAACCTTCCTCTGCCACCATGGCCTCCACCTCAAAGCAATCTGCCGGCTCGCCTAGTGCCTCCAGCCAAGCAAGCGCCGAGAGCGAGAAGCCCCAGGCGGTGGAGCTGTCGAGAATCATGGATCCCCATGAATACTGGGCCACCGGCCACGTCGATCACGTCGGAGAAGAAGTTGAGGGATCGGGGCCTGCTACCAAATCCAGAACTGTACGAGTGGGTCGCTACCAAAGGTTAGAGCCATCCGACCCCTGACACCCACCAAGTTACCGTCTTTATCGCCCATTTCCTCTGTGGCTTCGGGATGTATCCGTCGAAGTTCTTAGAACGTATATGTAGGCATTACGGGATCGAGATCGCCCACTTGCTACCCAACGCTGTCGGCATGCTCAGCGCTTTTGCTTTTCTTTGTGAGGCCTGGCTCCGTATAGAGCCATACGTCGATCTGTGGCACTGTTTTTACTCGGTAAATTACTATCACAACCGTATCATGGTCGGGTCGGTGGGCTTTTCCCTTAGAAAGGCAGAGGAGTATATCCATTTTCCCATCAAGACCTCCTGGAAAGGTTATGGGAATAAATGGTTCTACATCCGTCTCCCTGATGAAAATGTGATCAAGGGTAAAGGCCTGATGGCCGTCGTCAATGAGATGTGGAAGGCAATGCCTCCACTTACCGAGAAGATGCAAGGCCACATCAGGCGTATTCGGGAGCTCCGAGAAGCCGGCCTGACAGCCACTCATGTGGTCGAGACTTTTGTTAGGTGGCAAGTGGTTCTCTTGAAGAGTCGGGACCCTGCCTATACTTACAAAGGGGTGCTTGACAGGAACAGAGAATCGACCGAAGGTAAGGACCTCTCTCGAATTGGCTCTTGTTCGGGTATTTTTGGTGCATTTGCTAGTATGATGTTTAACTAGTTCTAACCCATACATTCTGGTAGAAGTGTCTGATAAGGAAATTGCTTCCCGGGTCAAGGACATCATCGACGTTGGGCGGCCAGAGTGGGAAAATATTCCGGACTGTACCACGCCGGGAACCCTCCTCCCAAGGTAATCACTGTTTCCCTTCGGGAACCGACCCAGTCGGAGAAGACCCCAGCCCCCGAGCCTGGCGCCGTAGCTGGGCGAAGCAAGACCCGATCACACGGGGACGCGATCTCTGTTACATAATCTACTGCTACCTTCTACGGAACACACAGCAGGAGAAGACGATATGGAAAAGACTTTTTGCTGTGGTACTGTAGCGCTATAGCTGTAGGCGCCGAATGGCTCACCTGCAGCACTGTAGCCACATGCAGGGGCCGGCGCCAGAGTCAGTCCTGCTGTGTTATCTAGTCACTGTAGCAGCATGGTAGCTGTACTAGGACTGGATGGATATAGTTGTATATATAGTTTGTCACTGCAACTCAGTAAAGAGAGTTCAGATTTGCCAACCCTTCTGTAGAGCTCCGGCCAACGCTAGTGTCTCTGCTGTATGTGTATGCTCTGTTCTTCCTCTTCTTCTACCTCTAGCCATAGTGTGTGGTTGGACAACGACCGTCGTGGTCGGCACGACGAGAGAGTGGTCGGCTGTGCTCGGCAAGACTGGTGAGTGATCGACTCACCTGAGCCGGTAATCCTGTGTGGGCCAATAAGCTGGAGGACAGGAGTACACCGATGGTGTTCCTGGGCTACGAGGAGGGTACCAAGGCGTACCGGCTCTACGACCCACGCGGAGACAAGGTGCTTGTCTCGCGCGACGTCTTGTTCGACGAGAAGGCGGCTTGGGACTGGAACAGTCCGAGCACGGGAGAAGCTGGCGGCTTCACCAGCACTTTCGTCGTCGAGCATTTGGTCATCCACCGGAGTGGAGACGCTGGGGAAGAGGTGCCGAGCACTCCGGGAGGGGTGCCGACCACTCCAGCGATAAAGCCGAGCACTCCTAGGGCAGTGCCGAGCACGTCGGGAGAGATGCCGAGCACTCCTAGAGGGATGCCGAGCATGCCAGGAGTGGTGCCGGGAGGTTCTGCAGTGGTGGCGACAACTCCAGGACGGGTGCCGAGCACTCCCGTAGCGGAGCCAAGAGGTCTTGCAGTGGTGCCGACCACTCCAATACTAAGACTGAGCACTCCTGTAGTCGTGCCGAGCACTGCAAAAGTTGTGACGAGCTGTCCAGGAGTAGTGCCAAGCACTGCATCTGGGGTGTGCCGAGCACTCCGGCGGAACAGGGAACTCCATCAACGCCGATCGAGTTCGCCTCACCTCCAAGTGACATCACTGAGTTCGTGGATACATTCCACGAAGGTGAGGAGGTGCGGTTCTGCAGGCTGGACGACCTCATCGGCGGCACAGGACCCTCAGGCCTGGTGGGTAGGCTGCTCAATGACCCAGAGCTGCTACTCGTCAGTGCAGAGGAACCACCCACATTCGCGCTAGCCGAGAGCGATGGAAACTGGCAGCGGGCGATGCTGGAGGAGATGAAGGCGATCGAGGAAAACAAGACTTGACAACTTGTTGATCCACCTCTAGGATGCCATTCGATTAGCCTGAAGTGGGTGTACAAGGTTAAGCGGGACGAGAACGACGTCATTGTCAAGTACAAGGCGCACCTCGTGGCCCGAGGCTTTGTACAGCGCGAGGGCATCGACTTCGAGGAAGTCTTTACGCCGGTAGCGCACATGGAATCTGTCTGTTTGCTACTGGCTTTGGCAGCAGCAAAGAATTGGCGCGTCCATCACTTGGACGTTAAATCGACCTTCCTCAACGGCGAGTTGGCGGAAACGGTCTTCGTTAGGCAACCTCCAGGTTTTGCCGTCAAGGGAGCGGAGCATAGGGTGCTCCGACTGCGCAAGGCGCCCTACGGGCTATGGCAAGCCCCGTGCGTGGAACGCCAAGCACGATGCCACGCTGATCGAGCTTGGGTTCACATGGTGCGCAACCGAGCACGCGCTCTACACGCGGCGACGGGGGATGGAAGAGCTCATCGTCGGCGTGTATGTGGACGACTTGATTGTCACCGGCGCGCGTGCGGAGGACATCAACAGCTTCAAGCATGAGATGGCGGCTCATTTTCGAATGAGCGATCTCGGGGCACTCACCTACTACCTCGGCATCGAGGTGAGACAGGGGAGGGAGGCACTCACGCTCGGACAAAGCACGTACGCCTCGTAGCTGTTGGAGCGGAGCGGCATGGCTGAGTGCAAGCCATGCGTGACTCCAATGGAGCAGCGGCTGAAGCTGACGATGGCCAGCACCACAGCGAAGGTGGATGCAACACTCTACCGGAGCATCGTCGGCGGTCTGCGCTACCTAGTCCACACGAGGCCAGACATTGCGTTCGCCGTGGGCTACGTTAGTCGCTTCATGGAGGATCCAAGAGAGGATCACTGGCCTGCAGTGAAGCGGCTACTGTGTTACATCAAGGGGACGGTGGATCAGGAGATCGTCTTCCCCAAAACCGGCGGAAGTAGGCTGCAGCTCACTGTCTTCAGCGATGCAAACATAGCGGGGGACATTGAAGGACGGCGGAGCACCTCTGGCGTGCTCGTCTTCCTCGGGTCGGCTCCAATTTCATGGCTGTCGCTAAAACAGAAGGTGGTGGTGCTTTCTACGTGCGAGGCAGAGTATGTAGCGGCGGCCACAACGGCGTATCAAGTTGTGTGGCTGCACCGGCTGCTGGGCGAGCTGATCGGCGTAGAAGCTCACCCACCAGCACTGATGGTGGACAACCAGCCCGCCATCGCCCTTGCGAAGAATCCGGTTCTGCACGACTGGAACAAACACATCCACGTGAAGTTCCACTTCCTCAGGGACTGTGTTGATGGAGGGCAGATCGTCATCGAGTTCGTTGAAACTGGTAGGCAACTCACGAACGTCCTTACCAAGCCGCTCGGACGTCTTCGGTTCACGGAGCTGAAGGAGATGATCGGGATGGGGGGGTTCAAGGATTAGCAGTAGGATTAGGGAAAGAATTGTTAGATAATCTACTGCTACCTTGTGTGAACACACAACAGGTGCAGGCGCCGAACGGCTCACCTGCAGCACTGTAGCCACATGCAGGGGCCGGCGCCAGAGTCAGCCCTGCTGTGTTATCTAGCAACTGTAGCAGCATGACAGCTGTACTAGGACTAAATGGATAGAGTTGTATATATAGTTTGCCACTGCAACTTAGTAAAGAGAGTTCAGATTTGCCATATGTTCTGTAGAGTTCCGGCCAACGCTGGTGTCTCAGCTGTGTGTATGCTTTGTTCTCCCTCTTCTTCTACCTTTAGCCATAGTGTGTGGTCGGACAACCTTCGTCGTGGTCGGCT